TTTTTTGGTATTTATATTTTTCCTCCAAAACATCTAATTGCTTATATTTTTTTAATTTTCTAAATAAAACTTTTTATTTTTGTCATTTTGAGTTTCTTCATGTTTTTTTTCTTAAATTAAATGTCTTCCGGTAGTTCAAACATCATAAGACTACAAACATCTTTACAATTCTATTATTGTTGAGAATTTGAACTACCGGATTACATTTAGGAAAAAAAATGAAGAAATTCAAAATGACAAAAATAAAAGGTTTTATTTAGAAAATAAAAAAAATATCTAAGTAATTAAATGTTTTAAAGAAAAAAATAAAATATCAAAATTTCCCAAGTAAAATTTACCGAAAATGTTAAAAAATATAGTGAAAAATGGCTCAAATAGACCCTTATAATCATAGGGCTTGGCAGGGGTATTTTCATTATATTTTGGAAAAAATATAACATCAGGGGGTTTTTGTATTTATGTATAATACAGGGGGTATATGATACAAAGTCCATAGTACATGAATGTTTTTGTATTTAACCCTAATGAATATTCCTAAATTCCCTACTAAATAATATCTAATTTTATGTTCGTATTTTGTGTTGGTTTGTGAAACTAACTTTATAGAACTATCGGTGAATATTTCCTGATATTGTGAGAATAAATGGTTTATTTTAGAGTAAATAAGACTTACATCCTTATACTTTGAAAATGTGCCCATAACTCCTTTTATTTTCAATATAGCACATGATCCCTTCTACTTATACAATCCAATCTGATGATGCTAATTACTTAGATCACCTGGGGTAGTGTAGAAAACGAACTGGGAGAGCAAAGCGGATCAGTAGCTTGACAACTTGATGATCCTGAGGTACCTGCGAAATGAGCACACGTGAACTACGCCGGGGGTTGATCCGGCGGAAACCCCTCCGACGCTCAAGTCAGACGTGCTGATAGTGGAAAATAGTCCAGAGAATACAGTTGATAGTATTACTCAGTTAATAGGACGTACCTTAATAAAAATGAGGAAAACCTCTATTTATATGTCGTTTATTGGGTTGGGTTTGCTTTGTTGGGCCCAAGCCTTACTTGAAGGTGTTTGGGCCTCGGTGATATTGGTCTTCAATATTGGGCTCGTGGCCCAGTAGGTAAATAACTTGTAGGCCCATTGGGTTGGCCCAATTAGGCATATCACAATCTTTTTTTGGACTCTAATGATAATAAAGATTCAGAGGTGGAATAAGAAAATACAACATAAAAGAGCGTGAATGCTTAGGAGTATTTGGCACCTTTTTTCTTTTTTTTTTTTTTAATATGATTATTTTAAGGAAAATTATAGTTTTAACCTTTCATGTTTGCACGGATTACACATTAGGTTCCTCATGTCTCAATAATTCAACATTTTTTATCATTTCCGTCAATTTACCGTTAGCACGTCAGTTAAGACAGTGGCGGGCACACGCTTGATTTTGTTAGTACTAACGAAAAATTAACGAAAAGGACCACAAGTGCTGAACTTTTAAACATGAGGGTCAAATATGTTTTTTGTGTGAAATCGGTGCATGCTTAAGGGACGAAAACTGCATTCTCTCCTATTATTTTATATAACACGGGTGGCGATAGCACGCCCCTTATAATATGTATTTGGGTCTAAAATTGTACTTTAATTCACTTCAATAATTGATTAATTGAACATTTGATTAGTTGAAAAAAAAATTGGACCAATTAAAAGCTGAGTAGCCAATATATTTACATAATACAAACCTGTAAATCCAAATATATTTTTTAATACATAATACAAACTTATAAAAATACAGCTATGAACAGCAATACATCAAGATTTTGGCATCAAACCAACTTCTAAATACAGAATATATACATGCTACAGCCAAGCTATTTACAAAATACATCGCTTAAGATCACAATATAAAATGAGCATGCTGATGATACACAGATGAAGGTTGTACATATTATATATATATATATATATATATATATATATATATTGAGAGAGAGATAGAGAGTTACAGCCAATTCCTTTGCTCCTGTGTCTTAACAACGGCAGCTCCATTTTTGCCAGCTTCTTCGTTTACCCGTTCATCATCGAGCGCGTAAACTTCCCAGCAACCGTTTCTCCAATACGTGTGATAGACTTCCGGAACATGCGCGACTTTCCAGTACTCGTCGCCCGTTTTTCGTGGAGATAACTGCAAGATAAACCGCTCGGGCATGTCGAAAAACTCGACAACTTTCAAATTCATCAAACGCTCGATTCCCACGGGCAAGCTCTCCAACGAGCTGCACCTCTGAATGATAAGCTTCTCGAGAAGGGGCGCCGACCCCTCCTCGACAATCACCTCCCTAAGTGCTTCCAATTTATCGAGACCTAATAGTTTCAACTTCCGAAACTTACCCGCCTTAAAACACAGCTTCTGCCCAATGTAAGCCTCGAGAAACTCGATATGGACAAGATTAGGCAAGTCTTGCAGATGTTCCAGCGGATCGTTGCTTAATCGGCTCCATCTCAAGTATACTTTAACCAAACTGTGGATCGATTGTATCCAATGTGGCAACTTCTCCATTTTTCCTCCCAAGTATAGCCTCTGAAGAAACGGAGGAGGTGAAGAAAGATACTGAAGATCAAGAATCTCTCCCTCCATTGCTCTAAGACCTAAAGAAGAAAGATTTACGAGATTTTCAACAGAGGAGCACAAAACCGCACAGTCTTCGGTTCTCAACTTCGTTATACTTATCCGCTTCAGTTCGGTCATTGTTCCTATCTCTTTAAGCACAGTGCTTCCATAACAAGCCTCAATGAAACAGAGTTTCTGTAGTGACTTCAAGCACCCTATCCCTTTTAATGCTTTGAAACCATGCACATAGTTATACGCCATGTACGAGCCAGGAACATGATGGTAGACCAAAAGCTGACGCAGATATTGGAGCTTCAAAATGCCAGCTGGCAGTTCGGTGATGTACGTCCCTTTGAGATCCAAGGTCTCCAGCTTCTGGAGTTTCTCGATCGAACGTGGAAGCTTCTTGATCCAAGTATTTCTCAGGCATAGATACCTCAAATGAAACAATTCAAGAATCACTTCGGGAAACTTTTCCAAGGGAACACCTGTCAAATCGAGAACTTTCAGCATTCTGCTGCTTTTGATCAACTGCAGCATGCCCGAAATCGATCGAGAGTCTCCCACGGAAAACGACAGAAGAGAACAGAGTCTCGTGCCGTACCTTTTGACCTCACTTTTTTCCAACGACCCGTGGATTGATATTCGTCGTACCCTTTTAGGCCACGCCATGTTCCTCTCAGCTGTCGTTGTCACGAAATTCTGGTCTCTCGATTTCGAGAGAATAATCTCACGGTACAGATCGTGGATGCAGCTCACTTTGACACTTCCATCATCGTTTGTTCTCACGGGATGAAGCAAGCTTCTGTTTATAAGCTCGTTGAGGTAGCCTTGAGCTACTTGTTCGGCAATTCTTCCCTCTTTTGCCCTCACGAAGCCCTCGGCTATCCACTGCCGGACAAGCGTGTTGTGCTCGATCAAATGATCCTCTGGGTAGTTGCTCAGGTACATAAAACATGGTTTGAGGTAGTAAGGCAGGTAGTTGAAACTGAGCAACAGAATGTTTCTCATACTTTCGAGCTGGTCGTTGCTTCCCAACTCCGAGCCGAGGCCATTATTGAGCATCTTCCATTCGTCGATATTGGTCTCCTTCTTGGTGGAGAGCACCCCACTAATGGCCACAATTGCTAACGGCAAACCGCCACACCTTCTCAAGATATTCAAACAAATATCTGTCAAATGATTAGGACAAGAGTTACTTTGGAAGGCCTTTCGGCAGAAGAGAATCCATGATTCCTCTTCGGACAAGGGATTCAACTTATAGACATAGCCATTGTTCTCGACACTGCAAGAGGAGGCTACATCCAAGAAACGTGTGGTGAGGATTACACAGCTGCCTCGATCATCGTTGGGCAAAGCGTACTTGATTGATTCCCAGGCCTGGATGCTCCAAATGTCGTCGAAAACGAGTATGTACCTTCGCCCACGAAGGAAATCCTTGATTATCGCCTTGAGCCTGTTTCCATTCATGTAGCTGGAGCTCATCTCCGGTGGAAAAGGCATTTTCATTTGATCGAACAGTTGGTGGGCAGTGTCTTTCAGGAGCTCCTCCACGTTGAACGACTGAGAAACGGTGATCCACGCGTGGTTCTGGAAATGTTTCTTGACAGCGGCGTCGTCGAACACCTTCTTGACGAGAGTGGTCTTCCCCAAACCGCCCATCCCCACCACCGCCACCACCTTAAGCCTCGAATCGCCGCCCTCCACAAGCCAAGCGACGAGATGTTTCTTGGGGCCATCGATGCCCACCAGCTCGCCTTCTTCGAGCAAAAGCGCATCGCCTCGCCGATCAATACCGCCGCGACTGCTTCCGCCGCCGGCCGATGAATTTGAGCCCTGATTCGGGACGGTGAATCTGTAACGGTATCTCCGGTGGCCTTCAGCGATGTCGGTCATCCTGGATTTGATGGTCTGGATCTCAGAAGCGATGGCGTAGTGGGTGTTGAGGTTTCTGACGGCGAGAATCAGCTTGTGCAGAAAGCAACAGGCTCCGACGGCGGCGGGGAAACAGGGATTTGTGCGGCGGAGGTGGAACATGAATTCGTCGATGATGTCCTCGGTTTCGTAGGCCAGATCGCGAACTTGCTTAACCCAGACTTTGAGCTCCGGATCGCCGTCTTCTGCAGCGTCGGCGACTCTGAGAAAAGCCGTCATTCTCTCGAGTTCATCTCTCACGTACTCGATCTCCCGCTTCACGTCTTTTATCAGGTTCACTTTGTCCTCCAGTAATGTTGTCAGCTTGTCAAGTACAAATACAACTGCCAATTCTGCCATCCCTCTCTCTCTCTCTCTCTCTCTCTCTCTCTCTCTCTCTAGATTTCAGTAAAAGAGATGATGGATACTCATAATGCTGAGATGGCCGTTTGGAGAAGAAGTGTGAGAGATGGTTTTTTTATAGTGGCGCGAAAAGTTTATTTATTGTATATATTTAATATTTTTAGAAGACCATATTATTACAAATAAAAGTCATATTAAATCATATAACACGTACATATTGAATATGATTACGTATAAGCTAAATTAAATAAGGTGGTGTTTGCAAATGCTTTTTGAAAGTGATTATGCGGTTTTTTTTGCTCATAATCTGTTTTTAGGTGTTTGCAAAATCAACTTTTGCTTTTGCTTCTCTTAAAATAATCTGCTTTAAGCTATTTTTTTAAAAGCATCCATAACCCTGTTTTTTCAATTTTAGTTCATTTTCCGAAATATTTGCAAACACCCCCAACTTTTAGAAATAAGCACTTAAAACTAACTTAAATCACAATCACTAACTTCTGCTTTTAAATAATCATTTGCAAACACCACCTAAGTAAACAAAGTATCACTATTAAATTTTATTAGCCAATGTTAGTGGTTGGAGTAAATGAGATTGTGTCAATTGACCAAGATTTTAATTATCTTACCAACAATTGTTACGTGAAGTTTGTCACACATGGTTATAAGTCTAGTGTAATTTACGTCTCTCATATGGTTTGCAAGCTATTATACGAGAACGTAGGTTTACACAGTGCACCTATATGATTGGCTGCTGATTCATTCATTACTAAAGAAGACGTTCGAACTTTAAAAATTGTGTTTAATACTCCATTCATTTCTAAATATGTGTTTTTTTTTCATTTTGCACAAGTGTTAAGAAACTTAATAAATGTGGCTGAATTTTAGGAAAACGTATAAAAAGACTTAAATGACCCCTTATCATTTAATGATTTATAAGAGAGAGTTAATACTTAGAAAAAATGTATTTTATGCGGTAGATTGGCAATGTAAAGTGACTGATAAATGAAAAGTAAAACTAAATCTTAAAAATTCAAAACATAAATTGGTAGAGAGCAAATAAGATATTCCTTAGAAGTACATTTACCCCTCATTTTTATTTAAGATCTTATAATAAGTAAACATAGCTTATAAGCTCATTATCTAAACACTTTAAAAATTATTTCTAAACATAAGACATATGTTATCAGCTCTTAAAACAGCTTATCAGATATAAAAGTTTATTAGTTGTTTAAAATAAGTTTAACCAACGGGTCTTTTGTGAAAGGTATCATTTACCCCCTGATGTATACAAAACATCAAATACCCCCTATTTTTAACATGGGATGTGATAAATGTCGTTCGAGCTTTAATAATACTGTTACGACTTCAAACGTGATTTTGATCATTTTTAATTCCAAATTTTGCAAAACTCGAAAAATAGAATTTGTAGTATTCTTAGTTAGTTTTCTAATCCACCTTGAATCACCAAAATTGGATGTTGGACGAGAAATATATACATGCATCAATGGATATTGCCCACAACTTTGATGTATTGAGGTATCTAAAATTCAAAATGTGACTCATTCATGCATAACTTTGTCACACGACATCCAATCTAGCGGATTTAAGTTGGATTATAAAGCTAACCCAAAAGACTACAATTTTCGTGTTTCGAATTTTGCCAAAATCAACATAGAAATATGTCAAAATCAGGTTCGAAGTCAAAACGACATTAGTAAAATTGAAACGACATTTAACATTTCAGTTTTAACATTCAATTGTCAAACTTTAACCGGTGTTGAATTTGAGTGTACAATGACTCTTTTACCCTGCTTTATGTCTGATATAATCCATTCGTTCAAATTAGGGTTTTTCATCGATATTAGTATTTGATTTTATGGGTTCTCAGTTTTTCTTTTTAGTGGAATTTTCCATTTTAATATAAAAAACTTTGTTTTTAATTTGCAATTCTTTAAAATGGTTTTATTTCAATTTCTGAGGGTTTTTTAGATTCGAAGGGTTTTCAGTTATCTTTTTTGTATGTTTTACATTCATAATCTGTAAAACTTCATTCTTATTTATTCAACTTTACAGTTTTTTTATGCATAAACAAAAGAAAAGGGGTGAAAATAGTAATAACAATAAAAATAAAAATAAAATAGACTAAAAAGAGGGAAAAATCTGATGAAAATTTGCCAAAACTAAGCAACCAGTGTATAGAGATTTTTGGGGATATTTTCATCAAAAAAAAGGCAACATTTCTTAGCAACAGTCGGTCAAATGGCTTAACTAACGGAATTAAGAAAAGGCTAACTGTATAAGGGTGTTTGATGTTTTCTATACTTCAGAGGGCTAAATAATATATTTCGCATAGTACAAGGGTGCAAAATGAATTTTACACTTATTTTTATATGGAAAAATGAGGTGTGCCACGACAGAAATCAAAGTCCACGAAGAAATCAAGATGAAGACATCACAGCTACAACCCCAACTACTTGCTCCAAATTATTATTTTCAAATTTTAATTGGTATTTGGTAATGAGAAAAACTACGTTAGAGTACAGACAAGTGAATCATTGATCATTACTTTATTAAATGGCACCATAGAATCTTTAGGCTTCGATTCTTGAATATCCTCTGTTTCAATTTTGAAATGTATTTTTTATTTTATAATTACACATTAATTGTTATTTTTTAAAACATAATACACACTTGCAATAAATCATATACCATATGCCATGCGCAGGTTATATAATACACAAAATGCAATATAAAATCACGATAGATGATGTGAACTTCACAACAGATTCAAAGCCATGTTACGAAAGGGGGGTGAATAATAAACAGAGAAGCATCATTAACAAATTATTTATAGTGTGCCTACGCCATTTACGTTTTCAACCCACCAATAAACGAAAGTACTCAACGTAGAGTAATCACGGTAATAAAAAAATCTGGAAAAATAAACGAAAACAATTAATATTATCTGCAGTTAATAAATTACGAGGCATCTCCTTTATTTCCTTTGAGATTAATAACAGCAAGTTCCCGCTCTACATACTCTCCAGCACTGATAGAGGGGTACTTACATGCGAGGGGCGAATCCGTAAAGTGGCCTAAAGGTTTGAGCACTGCATCCGATGCTATGTGTGCAAAAAGCTAAGAAAGAGATAAAAAAAAAAGGCCAAAATTTTAGCAAGTTATTTACGAACTATCAAGAAGTAAAATAACCTTGACCGCGTTATAGACTCACCGTTGAGGATACTCTCCATAGACTGCGATTTTGCTGAGAAGCTAATTTTATTGCGTCAGTTGTGCGTTCAGTCACAACGACTTCATGCATGCCAGCAATGCACTCCCCAGCTGTCATCCACTCTATCTGCATATCCATACTTAAGTCAAGACTTCGAAGGGAAGATTTATTTATATCAAGCATGAGTATTTTTTTCTAACGTAAAAAATATCTAAACGAGCTATTATATCTAGTCATCGTCATAAGTAACTCGACATTAACGCAATACTATATCCATTTCGTACTGAAGTCAGCCTTACCGTTATAGGTACAATAAACTATTATTTATGTTCTTCAATGTGTTGAGCACAAAGAAATTATTTTTATCTATGGGTTCTTTTTATCTGTAGGTACGAATTTACGTAGGCATTCAATACCTGCTTTCCTGTTTGAATGAGGAGGCACCCCACAGGAACTTTGACTTCCATTTTTCTGCCATCTCTTAGCCAAATATTAAGTCCTGGGAATCTACTCCTGCCGTGAATTGTGAGAAAGTTGAGGTCGTAATGATATCCGGCAAACACCGTGCCTATTTGGCTGTGGCGTCTTAAATCACTTCCTGTTGGGGCAAGTAGGTGTGGTCCCTGTAAGTAACAAACGAATATTCTTCCATGAGAGTATGCCAGGTAATGAAGCAATGCATGCACAGTAAAAATAGCAACAGATGAATTACTCTAAGATCATCGATAAGACCTCTGAATCACAAAGGGATTTGCGCCAAATTGAAATGTAACAAGAACGAGATGCATGCAATTAAAGACATTGAACTTAAGGCTCTTGTCCAGAAGGTACACTGAGAGGACGTAAGAACCGAGTGTATTGGAGGGGCATGGAAATGACATTAGTCTCATTTTTAATACATGGGGATGAAAAAGAAACCAACAAAGGCGAGTTATACGTTCCTAAATGTAAGGGTGTGAATTAGGAAACTTATTTGAATCGACAAGTAGCAGAAACTAGTTTTATACAGAATTGCATAATGATAGGGTAGTACAATTGTACAAAATATATTTCATCTCCAGTTAGAGAAAATCATATATCCTTAAGAGGTACAAAGGCCTTGATTCCATGCCCCGTCAGACCAAGTAAAGTGAAATATCCTCTGATAGTCTATATTCGTTTTTTTTTCAGGGTGGTCAAACAGATTTTGGAGAATTTGCTATTGATCAATCATCATAAAGCTCATGGTACTGCACCTTATTCATGTTCCTCATGGCACAAAAACACTGGTGTTCAAAAAGCTAGTTCTTCAAGACACTAAGATTGTGTAAGAAGAAGCCATTACACCTTATTCATGTTGCTCATGAAAGCAAAACATAATCAACGAAGAAAAACAATTTTTAGAGCCAAAGAAAAAATGACAACAAGAAAGAATTGAATATTGGTCAAAACAACAGTAACCTGCTTCATAAGAGAAGTGAATGCATCCTTCTGCAGGCCAAATCCAACTGCAGCCATTTCAGCAACAGCCTGATAAATAATGGCATAACATGAGAAAATGAAAAAATAGCCATGCAAAAATCAGATAAAAATAATCGGATGATCACCTCTATAGCAGATATCATTTTGTATCCCCATGAATCCATGGTATCTTTCCACTCGGGAAATCCCTCAGGTATGACAGGCTCCGAATTGAGTTCCTATAAAATGAAGATCCATCAGTACAAGAAGCCTAACAACACGACTGATAAAACGATTTACCAGGCTGACCTTAAAGCGGGTATTTGATGGTCGTGGACCAACCCTCCACATATACCGCCACTTAGGGTCTGGTCCAGTTGGGGTGGATGGTTGTAACTCTATCGGCATTGCTCTTAGTTTCTCTTGCATTTGTGCATCCACTAAACTACGAGGTACTTCAACTCCTTCAGGTGTTACTCCAACCTGAGTAAATCCAACATTAAGTGTGTGATTACAGAGATTGATTTTTCCAGGGAACACGAACTACTGACCCTTGCAGCAAATTTTTGATAGTTACTTGCAAGAAAAACTATTTTTAGCTATATAATTCGTAAACTCTATCGGTTACTTCTCTGTCTACTATTGAATTCAAAGAAGGGCAAATCAAGATAAATAAGAGAAAAGCAACAGAAGTGAGAAGCCCCAGATATATCTGGTCTTTCTTGTATATTTTTCCTCCATTTAAGTCCAAATTTTGGAAGACCCCAAAACCTCATAATATAGTTATGGGGAGTCACAAAACATATGGATAAGAAATTGATTCATACACTTTCAGTTTTATTGACAGAAAAATAGTAAATATATCCTCCAGGGATGCAGTGAGGAATGCAGAAACTTATTTCTCACTTGTTGAATTCTAAGGAGAAAACAGGGAATTGCCTGTGAAAAATATGATGAACTTTATAAAACTATGCAAGCGTTTCATTTCAAATATCCATTTCCATTTGTTGTGACATATTAAGTTCTGTATGCAAATTATGCACAAGCCAAAAAATGTATGGACAAAAGCATCAAGTAGAGGGAGTCAGTGCTAAATATAACTAAAAGTATACAACTAAAAGTCTAAAAATAAAGAAATGACGATTTTATTTGATAATTTACGTATAAAAATTATCAGTCACACAAAATATTATTATGACAAGACGTTTTTTCTGTAATCTAATTGACACGGGGAGCATGCAACAAATAAGTCCCAAGAAGTTTCGGGGTTTTGTAAAGACAAATAAACTCGTGTTGCCAAAATTTTAACTAATAGCATTCAAGGAACTATTACTCCTTGTTCAACTAAGAGCATATGGCAAGATTTTTTTTCTTACCCTTGTGATCAATAAATAGGTACATGACTAAACCAAAGCTACCAATCACCGAGAATAGGTGGTACTTCTAGAAAAAAAGATAATATATGTTTAAGGAGCATATAATGATGACTTTATTCAACATTTGGTCTTTTTCTACGGGGCTGCAGAATGGAAAATGACAAAAAAGAATCACAAAGATATATAAGTTTGTACGAAAAAATGATGTTGACCAATCATCATATGTTTACTTAAACGCATTAAATTACTGATATGCCACTTTCTATCAATCCGGCATGTTTTCAACGTGTTCGTCACAAACTTCTAGAACAAATCACCAAATCGTGACATATAATTCAAATTGATGAATTAATTGAGTAATTACTCAAATTTGAAATGCAGGACTGTGATGCAATAGCGAGCAAGCAATAAGGTTACAAACATGAAATAATAACTCGAAGGCGTAATCATCAGTAAACAAGCGGTATTGAGAATTTTCTAATACCACCACAATTTCAGCAGTAGAATACACAAAAGCCCTGAATAAATCAACGGTACTGAAAATTTTCTAACACTACCATAATTCCGGCAGTACAATACAAAAAAGCCCCGAACAAATCAACGGTATCGAAAATTTTCTAACACTACCATAATTTCGGCAGTACAATACACAAAAGCCCTGAACCAATCAACGGTATTGAAAATTTTCTAACACTACCATAATTTTGGCAGTACAATACACAAAAGCCCCGAAATAATTAACCACGACAAAAACAAACCAAATCGATACCTCGAAATCACAGTCCGGTAACACTTCAAAAAAATCAAATCACACCACATCTAAATTCAATTATCAAGCCCCTATTGAAAAGCAGCCAAACGCATCAAGTAGCAAATTGATAAACAAAAGGAACCTGGTAATGTAGCTGCGGGCGCTCTTGTCGGCGCTTGAAATCGTCGGGCATTTCGAAATACTTCTCCATCATATTGAGGAAGCGATCGTTGTCTTCGGCAGTGCATCGGGGATCTTTGACAAGTAAAGCTCCGGTCTCTTTTAGGGTTCGGCTGACCTCCGAGCAGAGATTCACCAGCTCCGAATCGAATTCCTCTTCGCCTGTGTTCGGCGGTTTTCCGCAGAATTCCAAGTAGGGGGCGAGATCGATCACCGGAATCTGCATTACAGGCTGGATCTTAGAGAGAGAAACAAAAAAAAAAGTGTTGGAGCGGATTGACTGAGGTAGTGGGGGTTTCGGATTTGGGAGTTGATTAGTGGAAGAGTGATGGCGGGAGATTCTCTCTCCCTCTACCCTTTTTGCCTCTCTCTCTCTCTCCTCTCCGTTTTATAGGGTTTTATTCTGATTCCTCATTGGTGGTTGGGATTCGAAATCTCACCTCGAGATTTGCGAGTTATGGACCTTTTACTGAGTTCTTACAAAAAGATTACATTTAAATTTAATGATATATATTGGATATAATATATATATACACTTTGTGGTAGGAATTGTTTGTTTGAAAAATAGTAACTTACTAGTTACTAATGTACAATTGAATGAAATTGATAGTGATGTTTGAATTGTTTAGTTACAAATTTGAATATAGTAATTTTATCACAAGAACTAGAAATATGGTAACAAAATTAAATTTTATCACAAGAACTAGAAATATGATGTCCGGCGAAATGCCGTCGGATATCGGGAAGCTTGAAATGCTGAACCGGGCAATTCAGGGCGGGAACCAACTCACCCGTCTCAGCGGCTCGATACCTAGTTCGATCGGCACTCTTTCCATGATGGCTAATTTGGATCTGTCAACGAACCGGATATTCGGTTCAATCCTCGGAGAAATCAGGTCGTCGATGACGGTCTCATCATCCCTTAATTTGTTCAACAGTCAACTTTCCAACGAGATATCAGGTAGTTTGTCCGGCAACAAGGTTTTGAGTCACCTGAATTTAAGTCGGTATTCTATGGAAAGGAAGCTGCCGCATAGTTTTAGCCCGAAAAATTATTTTATAATGCTGGATTTATCATACAACAAGTTAACTGGTAAAGTGCTCAACTCTATACGATCGGTTATGACTTAAGTATATTGGAGCCATGGATTTGAGTAACAAGTAATTTTGAAGCTTAAGATTTCGCCATCAATAATTTGTGTTTGTTAGATTTCATTTTTTTCTGCAATTTTGTTGTTGATTTTTTTTATCTTTCTTTTTTTAATCTTTAAATGTTAATATCCATAAGACATACGAAAAATGAAAGCCCTCATTTAGAGGGTGTTTGGCTAAGCTTATAAGATGTTAAAAGGAGCTTATAAGATGTTTTAGAGCTTATAAGCTCTTCCAAAGTGTTTGGTAAATTTTTAGAAAAAGATCTTAATTTTTTTAAAATAAGCTGTTGGAGAGCAAATAAGATCTTTTTAAATAAGTACCTCTACCCCACCTTTTTATTTAAGATCTTTTAATGAGTAAAAATAGGAAATAAGCCCATTATCCAAACACTCTAAAAATTAATCCTAAAAATAAGATGTAACAGCTTATCAGCTCTTAAAACATCTTATCAGACGTAAGAGCTTATCAGCTGCTTAAAATAAGCTTAGCCAAACACCCTCTTAATCACTATATACTTGTGAGAAAATAATGTTTTAGCTAACTTTTCACTCGTATCTCTCGTACATCGTTTTGTTTTATAGGTTGGCTTATTGATTGATACATGGCCTCATCTTTTCTTGGTTTATGAATTAATTACCTGTCCATTCGTAAAATGGGCCGATAAGATAAGGATAAATTTCACTTTACCCTTTTACTTTTGTTGGATATCACTTTATCCTCTTGTACTCTCAATTGTATCGATTTACGCTAATTGCACTTTGGTTCGGTATCATTTTATCCCCTGCTACTCTCAATCATCGATTTGCCCCCTTGTACCTTGACTCAATATCACTTTACCACCTTCTACTCTCAATTGCATCGATTTGCCCCATATACTTGAAAAATTATCTTAATGTGGCCATCACGTTAGTTTTCAGACCTTTGATCTTAACACCGTTTGATCTAAGTTTGAAAATAACAAAAAAGCCACCTCTCCCAGTTTAAATAATTATTAATAAAAAAAAATTGTGGCTGACATCGTGGACTATGTTTTCTCGCTGTCTTGAATTTTTTATTATTTTACTTTTGTTGTTTTTTTATTTATTTTTTTAATTTTTTTAATAATTATTTAAACTAAAGCGGTGACATTTTAATAACTTTCATACTTAAATCAAATGGTGTTAAGGTCAAAGGTCTGAAAACTAACGGCGATGGCCACATTGAGATAATTTTTCAAGTAAGGGAAGCAAATTGATGCAATTGAGAGTAGAAGGGGGTAAAGTGATATCGAGCCAAAGTACAAGGGGGCAAATCGATGAATTGAGAATAGAATGGGGTAAAGTGATATTGAACCAAAGTATAAGGGGGCAAATCGATGCAATTGAGAGTACAAGGGGGTAAAGTGATATCCAACCAAAATACAAGGGGGTAAAGTGGAATTTACCCATAAGATAATCAACCCATAGTGTCGTTTAGAGCAAGTGCAAAATGACAACAATGTCCTTACTTCACTACCAAATTACTTGTATACATAGGTTATATACAAGATCTGATTGTTTTTAAAAAGTAAAAGGAAGGGTAAATTTGTCAATTCCGCATTGGTCCAGCTGGATCTGCATGACCAAACAATGTATTTATTATGTATGGAATGTTAAAATAACGTTACGAACCAAATGGTTGATCAAATATAATATTTTCGTACATTATCAAGGTATATATAATCACTATATCATTATAATCCAAACCACAATCTAAAGTGCCCGTATGTTTAGGTTAGGGATGTAAAAGAGCCGAGCTAGACTGTTTTCGCGAGTTCGAATCCATTTTGACGAGCTCGAACTCGAGTTTTATTATATTATTAGAAATTTATTATGATAAATTATAATAAAAAACTTGAAATAAAAAATAACCTGTAATTTTTTTTAAATTATTTATATGAATTATTATTTATTTTATATTAATTATATTTAAAATAATAAAAAAAGACAAATAAAAAAAAATGCTCGTGAGCACACGAACAACTAAAAATGAGCTCGAACTCGACTGGCCACAAAAGCTCGAGCTCGAGCTTTTGTCGAGCCGACTTGCTGACTCACGAGTCGGCTCTGCTCATTTACATCCATAGTTTAGGTTATGTTTGCATTGAAGGGGTCTCTTTACCAATATAGAAAAATAAACGAGCCCATTTCACAATTTAGTCAAAAAATAGGGAGCCTTTGTGCAATTTTCAGCTACCATGAATATCGGAAAATCGATTACTATAAAACGAGTCAAAAAAGCCGCCGTCTCTCAGCCACTCTCTCTTCTCCTCCTCCATAAAACCCCAGCCGAAAAAAACCCCAGCCGAAAAAACCCCAAAAACACACACACACACACCAATCTTCCAATTCCTATTCTGTAATTTAATCGAACAGTTTGTCTTCAACCTGCGTTATCGCCTTTCCGAACCGGTAATACTATTATTAAAGCCAATTGAACCACTCTGTTTGCTATAATTTACCTACTTTTTAATTTAATTACACGGTAATATGCTCTACTCTTCTGCGCACACATATTTACACATGGCATCGAACGCTCGTAATATTCTGTATAGCAACCGATTTTTTGTGGGGGTGTGTTGCTGTAATATGTGCTTATGGTTTTACCAATATAAAAACCGGGTCTTTTTCTTATTGCTGTTTTTTGGGGTTTCGGTTCATCGGATTTGTCGATTTTCTACTGTTCCTGTACATGGTTTTTTGTGGAGGTTATTTAATTTCTGTGAAAAATAGTATTTTTTTGGTTTTTTTTATATTGGAATGGTGAAGGTGTTGACTTCGTTCGTTTTGTGTGCATTCTTTACATGAGAAATGCGGTGGATTAAATATTAGATTGTGGCGTAAGAAAATGGGCGTTTTATTTTTTTTCAATTCCTCGTTTGTACTTGCTGCACAATGTTTTCTTGATATGGTGATGGAACGTGAGTTTGAGCTTAACTAACTCAAAGATGCAGACTTTGGTTTCATGTAATCACGATTTCAATATTTTAGGATGATAAGCGGCTCGGATTTTGTTTTTTCTTATTTATAATGGTTGCATTTGTTGATGTTAGAGGTAAAGATGGCTGGGAAGTCGAATCGGGGGAGGAATCGTAAAGGGTCGCAGCAAACTGCAGTGAAATCTTCAGAGCAGGCCGTTTCTCCTGTGGAGCCATTGAGTGATAGTTCCAGCGCCATACAGGCTAATGGTGATACGAGCTTGAGCGAATCAAATGACATAAAGACAGAGGTTAAAGACCAGGATACAGCATCCCACCAGCATCCAGGAAAACAAGGTGGAATTACTGTTGCTCAAACTTGATCTAATCTTGTGGTAGACTAGTGGAGTTAAGGCTACTGTTGATTGAATATATGTTTCATCCCTTTTTATCTGCACATGCCTTAAATAAAACTAAAATTTGGCACAAATTATCTAACAGTCAACTATTGAAGTATGGATTTTTTTCCCCTCTGTGTGATTATTTGCTCGAATTGGATGTAAGCTATGACTCAATTTTCGTTGACTGCCGACTGTAGTTTCTAAAATACTTTCGTAGTTGTTTTCAATTTCCCAATCTGTGTGCTTAATGTTGCCAAAACATTCTATCTGTACTTCTATTGGGCTCGTGGCCTGTTGATTGTCACAGTTATAAACATGTTTCAGTTGCCTATTGTTTTTGTCTTATGTTTTAAGATAGAGAATGCAATTTTCTCATTTTGTTAGTTGCTGCAATGTAGAAATCTTAGATAACTGTACAAAAATCCAATATAGATAGTAACATTAGTGCCTCAAAAGATTTTTTCTTGCTTGATCCATGAACGAGGGTTTTTAATAAGTGTACTCATTTTAATGTGGCAGTTTGGCTGATAAAAGAAGCATGCTTGCGTGTGCATTTTCATGCTTTAAAAAAATTATCTTGGGATGTCTAACTCAAGAAGCATAGCCAGTATTACATAATGGCAAAGACACACTTGCTAATTTTGTCCGTAGCATGAAATTTTGCTTGAACTCTCCCCACAGTTCTCAAAAATCGATTTCATTGTGGTTTGGATGCTCTAGAATCAATTCTGTCAGTAGACTTGGAACTTTTTATGTTTCTTCCACTATCAGATTGTTCAGAATGGCATGGTTGTAGTTTCATGTTTTTCCTTCCAGATGCCTGTAATTTATATCTGTCTACTTCAATTCTATTTTCTTTCAATTATTAAAAACATGTATAAAATCGTTCCTTATTTTTACCATCTGGTTTATAGATCTCTAGTTGCCTTACTGCAACTCTTTGCAAGGATTGAATTGCATTTTTATGTTATTTTATTTCCTTATTAAGTCAAAAAATTCAATGCCCGGGAGTTCCATGTCTATAGTATATTTTCTTTGATCGGCCAATGTATGCACATGCTTAGAGCACACTAATGTATTCAAATTCTTACACATTCACATCCCAAATTAATGCCAAATGTTTCCTTCTTATTGCAGCTGATATTCACCTGTATCCTGTTTCTGTCAAAACACAAGGAGGCGAGAAGCTTGAGCTACAAGTATGCTACTATAGTTTAATTTTTAGTTCATAAAATTGAAACCTCTTAACATATTTTACCTATTATTTGCCTTGTTTGCTGCTGCAGTAAGGATTACTGTTTCATTTTTTTTGTCTATCAGAACCAGAATCCTACAATCACTTTTTTTCATTAGTTATTGCCAAACTTGATATCTTCTTTCTTGCATCTTAGAAATCTTTTGAGTCCATTGCTTTAAACTAATTGATATTTGCAGTTGAGTCCTGGAGACTCTGTAATGGATGTTAGGCAGTTTCTTCTTGATGCCCCAGAAACGTGTTTCTTTACTTGCTACGATCTGTTACTGTACACGAAGGATGGTTCTATTCATCACCTAGAAGACTATAATGAAATCTCTGAAGTTGCCGATATTACTGGTGGAAACTGCTTTTTGGAGATGATTGCTGGTAAACTTAATCATCCCAATATTTTTGCTTTTAAGCTCTAATGTATATATGCAACTAAGTCTTAATTGATAATCTGTGATGATGTACTCTCAAGCATCATTTCACGTATTTTGTTGCACCGTTTACATGCACATTATGCTGTAAAAAAACAGTCTTTTGCCCAAAGGAATAAACTTTCTTAGCGTTTTGCTGTTTTTTTTATCATGGATCTTAATTCTTGCTGTTCTTTGCAGCTTTATATGATGACCGATCCATCAGGGCTCATGTTCACCGAACAAGAGAGTTACTTTCTCTCTCAACACTGCATTCCTCGTTGTCCACAACGCTTGCATTACAACACGAAACAGTGAAAAATGCATCAGCAAATGTAGGAGGTTTGTGATTGCTCTCATCATTGACTATACACACTTTCTTCGTTTCTCATTCTGATTATATTTTCATTTTATTTTGTTATTTCTTACTATTGTAGTAAATTCTGACTCCTTTCTCCTATGTCTATATTATATGCAGATCCGGTGAAAGCTGAAGTGCCAGAACTCGATAATTTGGGATTTATGGAGAATGTTACGGGCTCACTCACAAGCTTATTATCATCACCCTCCAAAGAGATTAAGTGTGTTGAAAGTATTGTTTTCTCTTCATTTAATCCTCCTCCAAGCCAAAGAAGGTTGTTCACCTAGGATAATCTTCATAGTTGCCAATTATTTCCAATTTTTTTTTATTCCACTGACCTTTCTCATCTTTCTATTTGTCCTTTTTGGGTTTACTCACTTGGGAAAAATTCCATGCTAATATACTGGATTTATCTGGTTGCATCAGGCTTTACGGAGACTTAATTTATTTGGATGTGGTAACTCTGGAAGGAAATAAATACTGTATTACGGGAACAACAAAAGCTTTCTATGTAAACTCAAGCGCAGGGAGTATTCTTGATCCAAGGCCAAATAAAGCGGCTTTAGAAGCAACATCCCTTGTTGGACTTCTGCAAAAGATTAGCCCCAAGTTTAAGAAGGGTAACATAAACTTTGTTACTTATGACCTAACTAATATGTTGAGTTCCAAGTATTAAACTTATCTTAGTTGTTACTGTATCGCTGACTTCGGCCTTTTGTCTTCCTAGCTTTTCGTGAAATATTGGAGCGCAAGGCCTCAGCTCATCCATTTGAAAATGTTCAGTCTCTCTTACCACCAAACTCATGGCTGGGCTTGTATCCTGTTCCTGGTAATCTCAAATCTTTCTACAGTTTAGGTCCTATAGATAAGATACTAGATTTGTTTTGGACATATTTCGTGTATTTTTTGAGATGGCGACCAGCTTGTTATCTGATCGGGCTGATTGTTATCATAGTTCAACTTCACCAGAAATCCAGAATAGTACTTTTCGTTGTACCCTTAGAAACTGGCGATCTTTTGCTGGCTTACACGGTTAATCATTTTATCAGATTCCAAATGAGTTCATCAAAGAATAAAATTCTGACCAATTTCAGAAACTTAAAAACTTTCTTTCTCTTGAAAAAAAGAGAGACTAAATATCACCTGTCAAAAAACTTTTGATGAATGATCTTGGGAATAGAAAACTGTATTGAGTTTGTGGCTAATGTTGCCCTTCTCTTTTGCTAGAGTTCTCTTGAGCAAATAGTCCTCATTATATTAGTGCTAAAGATGTCTATGCGGTGAAATTACTTTCAGCTCTTCTACTCGGAGCAAAACTCCTGATGAAATTAATAAACAAATGTTACTAAGGGCCCTTTGGTTTTTCATGAGTATTCAACTTGCGATAGTGATTTGTGCAGTTCGAAAACAGTAATAAGAGAGGCCATCCAAATGTGTAATAGATATTGGAGACAGTAAAATAACTATCATATGACGTTTCTTAATTCTGCTTGTCGTCTTCGCATCATGATGTTGGCTCATGAAACCAAATCCATGTTATATGGTTTCCTTATTTTGGTATTCTTTTTATTCGTCGTTCTTCTGAGATGTTGTAGATTTGTTATGACATTTTAGTAGTTTTCTCATCATTCCGTTTCTTCTGTATCTGGCTTCGCTCATTGTGTCTTAACTGTGTATACTGATAACTGTCTAACGGAGGATGCTTGTTTTAGATCACAAGCGTGATGCAGCCAGAGCGGAAAACTCTTTGACTCTGACCTTTGGAAGTGAGCTGATTGGCATGCAAAGAGATTGGAATGAAGAGTTGCAGTCTTGTCGGGAGTTCCCGCATGCTACACATCAGGAAAGGTGTACTTCATATCTTTGTTGCAATATCCTTTGCAAGATCAGTACCTTTGTGAATATATTTATATCGTATTACTTACCTTATATATTCATTGCAGCATCTTAAGAGATAGGGCACTTTACAAAGTGACTTCTGATTTTGTTGATGCTGCCACTAGTGGTGCTATCGGAGTGATAAGCAGATGTATTCCGCCTATTAATCCAACAGATCCAGAGTGTTTTCACATGTGAGTATATCTGAATAACTTGAGTGCTTTTTATCGTCACTATCTATTTTGTTTCCTATACAATGAATTGCTGTACTCTTGTCTCTCTTTATGTTTAAACTCTGTTTCCCTTTTTACTCCTGGTATGCATAACATTAGTTAATTTGTTATTATTTGTTCTTCATTTCATAGGTATGTTCACAACAACATATTCTTTAGTTTTGCTGTTGATGCGGACCTTGAGCAATTGCCCAGGAAGAAGGCATTAGAACTAAACTCTAAACTGCAGAGCACAACCTCGGCCCAGAATCATTCAGAGAACAATCTGCCACAAGGAGATTCTACAGTACCGTTTGTAAACGGATCTGCTGTTTCAAATACGGAAAACGTTAGTGATGCTGAGGCATTGTCGGCTGACGTTCCTGCAGAGACTCAGTTGGCTGAAAGTGAGCAAGCAACATATGCAAGTGCTAATAATGACTTGAAAGGGACCAAGGCATACCAGGAAGCTGATGTTCCAGGCTTGTACAATCTTGCCATGGCCATAATTGATTATAGAGGTCATAGAGTTGTTGCACAGGTGCGTATTTACTTACACTTATCCAGTTACTTTTACACAATTCATGGGTCTCTTTCTAATTTCTGATGTCTTAATAGACCATAAGTCCATAACTGATGTCTCAGCTTGATGCTGTAGAAAAATAAAAATATTTCTCTTTCGCTCGCTGCTCGTTGGTTTTTGTCACATTAATATCCTCTATGTTGTTTCTTATTTTCATTTTTCTGCCACATCAATGTTGATTCAATTCCTCTGGTTTTTTTCTTCTACCTTTATGGATGACCAACCAATTTGGACTTATTAAGTTGTTCATGTTGTATATTTGAAGATAATAGTTACTCTACTATATTGATCAATTAGATGCTAAAATGGCATCATTCTTTTGGTTGTATGTTCTTACATTTCCTCTCCTACCAGAGTGTGTTGCCTGGAATCCTTCAAGGTGATAAGTCAGACTCCCTTCTATATGGGTCTGTTGACCAGGGCAAGAAAATTTGCTGGAGTGAAGACTTCCATTCTAAGGTACAAATGAGCTTAATGAATTCATTATGAGATCTAGATAGCATCAGTTATCAAGAATTTGCTGAAAATAAATCCAGCTTCATGACATAAGTCTTCAACTCTACTGTCATACATGTATCACCGTTCTCTTGGGAATCATCGGAAGAAATTCTCTTTCCTAATCCTTTTCATGGCAACTGTGTTACTTACAAAGTAAAAAACATCTTGTCTCCTTGATTCAATGGGACTTTCTTGTTGCTATCGTCCTTGAAATTCTTATCAGTGTTTGCAGCCACGATTTATTAATCAACTCTTGACCCCATTAGTAATTCTAAGTCTTCTAATTATCTTACAGGTGCTGGAAGCTGCCAAACTTCTTCATCTGAAGGAACATACTGTGCTCGATGGGTCTGGTAATGTTTTCAAGCTAGCTGCACCGGTTGAGTGCAAAGGCATTGTTGGTAGTGATGACAGGTGAAGCTTGATCTTTTGGAATGTTTAGTAACTTCTGTAAATTAGCCCTGTGGCATATTGTTCCTCCTTTTTTTGTTGGAAATGTGCATTGTCTGTTGCTCCTACACATCCAGAAAAAAAACACTTAGGCAATTGATCATTTGTAAATACATCTATTTCTTCTTCTTTCAAGCAGAATGGTTCGTGGTTCCCCAGTTACCCTCTAAATACATCTACTTCATTGCGTTTGGTTTCAATTGGAGAATTAGTAGTTATAGAAAGATCGTAATTCCTACCACATTCCTCTGGCCCCATTGTTTGTCCTCCTTGCTTAGTATCTGCTGTGTTGAACCATATCTTGTTGTGCTTGAAAACATTGATTAAGTTTATGGCAAGAGTAATCCTTGTCATCTTATAAAAGTCTTCTTTTGGAATTGCTCAACATTTTTTTAGCAACCTATTGGATCCTTTGTTTTGCCTATTGTTGTTTCTTGTTTTATGATGTGTTCATGTGTTCCCAGGCATTATCTTTTGGATTTGATGAGAGTCACTCCACGCGATGCAAATTATACCGGTTCCGGTTCCAGATTTTGCATTTTGAGGCCTGAACTAATATCTGGCTTTTGCCATGTAAGATTCAGCTTTCCACATCAATATTACCTCTGAACCATTTTGGATATTTCACAATCTTAACATCTGTTTTGGGATGAAAAGGCGGAATCAGCTAAGATGTCGAAGAGCGAATGCCAATCAGAACAGGAGAATTCTGTTGTTTCAGATTCTTTGGAGGTCAATAGTGCTGAAGAGGTGGTGAAAGCTGAGGAGCATGCATCATCAGCAACAACTGATACACAGGTTCAGGTCCTTGTTACAATTTCTTTATGCCTTGACATAGTTGTAGCTTTTACAAAACGGAGTGCTCTGATGAAATTAAAATTAACTTGTCCTTACAAATACTCAGTATGCCAACATGCAGTGGTGAAGCACCAGTGCGCTGAAGTATCTCTCTTTTCAGCATAGAAACATAATCCAAGTTTTTGATGTATTGTAGTACTCTATATGTGCATAAACAATAATGTGGCACCTCTTCTGTGTGATATGTGAATAATCATCTCTTTGACAATTCTAGTGTAACTACAGTTAAGTTTGTAATGGTTAGAGACTTGACTGTGTTGTGCATGTCCCTGTGAAAAGAGAAGAAACTCATGCTGCAAGAATTATTTTAATTAATGTCGCAAGTAAAAAAAGCTAATTGAGGTTTATTCTTAATTTCGTTTGGTCAAACACGTCCATAAATTGGATAAAGCTCAGTTAGAACTTAAGTAATTTGATTTAGCTGGGTTACATCTTTAAATTTTGGGGCCCTAGAATTTGGTTTGCTTGAATGCACAAAATTATCTAGATATAAACCTTTCCAAGTCTATTTAGTTTCGAAGGCTTTTCAAAGGCTTTATCAGCTTAACTTCCATTAGTATTCTCCTTTGGAAATGTAGCTGTCTGTCGTGAAAAAAATTGCTGTTGGCTTCCTTGCTCAGTTATATTCTACAAGTAATAGAGAAGACAACTTCTGGACATTTTTGCTGTCTGTTACTTAAGCTAGTGCAGCTTGAGCACATCAGTTTATTTTATCAGTTCTTTGATTTTTAGATGTCTATCTTCTCTGTACTTAATTTGGTACTTAAGGTTGTGGTTTGCTTTCTGCTTTTAGTCCTTTAGTATATTCATATCTAGGATATGACAGCTTGTATTTGTAATTTGTTCACCTGTTCACACAATAGGGATTTACTATTGATTCGGATGAGAAGGACAAGCTAGGATTTTTTTCTTTTTGTAACCAACTTGAACCTGATTGAAAACACGAGGGAGCTCAGAGAAGCTATTGATGTTTGAAACTCGGTTAATCCTCGAAATAGTTGACGGGTTGAGTGAAAATTGCAAGACTATGGTTGACGTGGTATTTATCTACCTCACCTGTTTATGCAAGATATTTAATTGTGTTTCTTTGAAAAGATGAACATCAGAAATTATGCTGATCTGACTTGTTAATTAACTGTACGTGTTCACCATTCACTGTAACAATGCCTCTTTGTACCATTAGTTTTAATCTTTAATAAAGGATCAAGCATCCATCAATTAATAAATTTAACCTATTTGTGATGTATGGATAAGCATATTATCGAGTTTAGTTGTTGGTATCTAACTTCTATCTCATTGTAAATGGGTTTTTTCAGGATGCTGGAAAGGGTGAAAAGGAAAACTGTCAAGAATGCTGTTCTCACTCTCATAAAGAAGATTCAAGCAAAGACATACTTTTCAATCCTAATGCTTTCACTGAATTTAAGCTAGCTGGGAATCAAGAGGTGTCATATATAATCTTTCAGATTAGTTGACCTAATAATTTTCAGGAATTTTTTCTTCTCAAATCTTTCAAAATAATGTTCTCCAGGAAATCACTGCGGATGAGGAAAATGTGCAGAAAGTGAGTTTGTATCTAAAAGATGTTGTAGTGCCTAAATTCATAGAAGATCTTATTACCCTTGAAGTTTCACCGATGGATGGACAAACCTTAACTGAGGCACTCCATGCACATGGCATCAATGTTCGTTATATTGGAAAAGTAAGAACAGGCCCATAATGAGTTTTAACACCTCTTTTTAGACTTTATATTCTCTTATGCTTTTATATGGCTTGATCTTGAATCTCATGTTTCTGGAGTGGGGTTGAAGCTGATGTTATCTATATTTATGTTATCCATATTCTGTGGCTCATATGCTCTTCTTGGTGCTATAGGTTGCTGAAGGGACCAGACATATGCCTCATCTATGGGATCTCTGTTCGAATGAAATTGTCGTCAGATCTGCTAAGCATGTTGTTAAGGTATTTAACAATTTATGACGCACTTCCAGATTGTTTGGGCAATATAACATTGTGATTAGATAATCCACTCTTTGGTTATTCAAGAAGTTGAAGGTATTGTGGTAGTTCCAGCCTCCAGGTTATGCTTTTGGCTGCTTGTTTCCTTTTGGTGGACTGTCTTTGACCATCTTTCTTTCTGCCGTGTAGATTATCAATCATGTCACGTCTATAATGTCATTGTCCTCCCCCCCCCCCCCCCCCCCCCTCCCCCATATCTTAGCTTTATCATAGAATCCAGAACCTTTAATCTCATATCTCAAAATTAGTCAGTCTAAGTTTAAGGGGCGCATTTTGTTATCTCTTGTGTGGTGCATAAACTGTGACAAATGCTATTTTTAGCATTTGAAATGTTTCTAGGTGAACTTTGAGTCATTCTATTTGATCGGGGACTGCCTTCTCAAAAAGCAGCCCATTATTATGCCTGCCACTAGTTCAATCAAAGCAGCCAATTTCTGTTTTAGATATTCTTGCTAGCTTTATGTGATTTCTTTTGATTGGTTGTGGAATAATTTTCTCTAGTGAAACTATCTACGAGATCATTAAATGCAGTTTATGGTTTTCTTTACAAACTTTGCCTATTTACGGCCCACTATTTATGGACATGCAGGATATTTTAAGAGATACAGAGGATCACGATCTTGGACATGCGATTTCACATTTTTTTAACTGTTTCTTGGGAAAAGTTCAGACTGTTTCTCCTAAAGGTGCTGCAAACAATTCACAGTCCAAAACCCAGAAAAAGGTATATATATAAATGTGATGAATAATTTTTCAGTAGTTCTTAATGTCCTCTGAACCTGTTATCTGTGTCAATATTTTGGTCTCTCTATCTTGATCTTGTGTTAGTGCTTTTGCTTTGTGGATATTCTTCGTATGTAGTGAAATGAAGTATATAGAATTGTGATCTGACTATGTCCAATTTCCATAATGATATAAACTGAGAAAAAACTTCAATTTGGGTCTTGATTCTACTACTACATTAGTTGGCTCCTTGGTTATTATATTTGGCGTGTCGTATTATATTATCTCCACTCCATCTAATCTCCTGAAATCTATGGCATCGATATTTAACAGGTTCATTCGGGTCATCATGTTTCTGGGAAGTCTTCCAAGGGACAAGCTAAGAAAAATGAGGGATATTCAAGGAAGAAAGAGTCCTTGTATTTGAGTATGACTTCCGATAGTTTGTGGTCTGACATTCAAGAATTTTCAAAATTCAAATACCAGGTCTTTTTGTTACTAGTTGAACTTTTTTTTTTGATTCTTGGTAGAGCTTCGTATTTACTGTGTTGAGATTAATATCTGCAGTTTGAGTTGCCAGAAGATGCCAGGAAGGGGGTCAAGAAAATTTCAGTGATACGAAATCTTTGCCAGAAGGTACAATTTTTGAAGCATAGAATAACTTGAATTTAATTTAAGTTTTCCCCCAACTAATTGATCTTTCTATTTTCATTCCATCCCAAAAAAAAAAAAAAAAGAAATGTGCTTTTGTTTGTCTGCTCTATTTTTCCAATAGATCATTCAATTTTCGGATCAAATGATGATTGTGTAATTTTTCTTTTTTACCTCTTTGTATCTGTGTTATGTTTTTTTTTTTGTCTATTTATGAGAACCTAGCGTGTTACCAACAGGGCCTTGTCTTATAGCTATAAAAGTTAACGAAGTACCTGTTGAGTCTATTCAAGTACAAGGACTCTTTCTTGTACTTATCCTGCAAAGCAAATTATGTCGAAAAGTGGAAGTTGTTTGAATTCGGGAGTGGTACTTTTAATGTGTATTTGAGGCCCAACGGCTGTTATTTTTTATACCATTAGATTGTTTTGCCTGATTGTTTTTATCGCAAACAGGTAGGAATTAGCATTGCTGCTCGAAAATATGATTTCGATGCTTTGGCACCTTTCCAAGTTTCAGATATATTGAATGTCCAACCGGTAGTGAAGCATTCCATTCCAGTTTGTTCAGAAGCCAAGGATCTGGTTGAAACTGGAAAAGTCCAATTAGCAGAGGTATGTATCGATTTGATCTTTAATGAGGAAAATTGATTTATAATATCTGATTTTACGCTATCAGATAAAGTCTTGTGAAACGATCACAAATTTCTATTGAAGAATTTTATTTCCGTGCTTCTTCAGGGAATGCTCAGTGAGGCGTACACACTATTCTCTGAAGCTTTCACAATTCTGCAGCAGGTGAATTTAACAATTTTTTTTACTTGCACGATCTCTTGTTTTCATTATTTTAGGACATTAACCAAATACACAAATTGCAGGTCACTGGTCCAATGCATCGAGAGGTTGCAAACTGTTGCCGGTAAATGTTGGAATACTTGATTTGTGTCCTTTTTCTGGATTTCACTGTTTTTCCTGCACATTTTGAATGTGATTGAACTTCCATCGAAATACGCAATTTTTGTATAAATAATTTACGTTGAACTGGACATTGACTTTGATTACAGCTACTTGGCCATGGTGTTGTATCACGCTGGAGATATGGCTGGAGCCATAATGCAACAGCACAAGGAACTAATCATAAACGAACGATGCCTTGGACTAGACCACCCCGACACTGCTCACAGGCACAAACCTTTTTTCCCTCTGCTCATTTCATATTATTAGTAATTTCACCGCGAACCAATGTTTTCTATGCTAAATTATTCTCTGGGATTTGATTTATTACTGTATGTAGCTGCTCGAGTTGTTTTGAGACCTGAGTACAATATTTAAGACGATACATTTTTTTTTGGGCTGCAGCTATGGGAATATGGCTTTGTTCTATCACGGACTTAACCAGACAGAGCTCGCACTGCGCCACATGTCTCGCGCGTTGCTTCTCTTAAGCTTGTCATCTGGGCCAGATCACCCAGATGTTGCTGCCACGTTTATCAACGTTGCTATGATGTACCAAGATATCGGAAAAATGGATCCCGCCCTTCGTTATTTACAAGAAGCCTTGAGAAAGAACGTGAGGCTACTAGGAGAGGAGCATATTCAAACTGCAGTTTGCTATCATGCTTTGGCCATTGCATTCAATTGTATGGGTGTATTCAAGCTTTCTCACCAGGTGTGTTTGTTTACCCAAGCTAAATAATAATAATAAACATTCTATATTTATAGATTCATAAATTATAACGCACTGATATACGCTTTTTGATCTTTGATACGGCAGAATGAAAAGAAAACATACGATATTCTCGTGAAGCAACTCGGAGAGGAAGACTCTAGGACGAAAGATTCCGAGAACTGGATGAAAACATTCAAGATGCGCGAGCTGCAAGTATATTTACTACCCTAATCGGCTGATGAATTTGTTTTTAATTTTAAATGTTTTTTTTACTATTCTTGGATGTTATCAGCAAGTTTCGTAAACCCCAATCTGGTTCCTATTCTATTTATGTACAGGTTAATGCACAAAAGCAAAAAGGTCAGACTTTGAATGCTACTTCTGCACAAAAGGCTATTGATTTATTAAAGGTATTAATTTATTGCGTCTATAAATTTCAATTTTTTTTCTTTTATTTATTTTACTTTTGCTATAATTAATAAAGTATAATATGTGCAAGAATAGGCTCATCCAGACCTGATACAAGCATTTCAAGCCGCTGCAGTAGCTGGCGGCACAACTGGTGGTTCTAGTTCCTCTGCAAACAACAAATCACTAAACAGTGCAGTCATCGGTGAAACCCTTCCGCCACGAGGGGGAAGAGGTGTCGACGAGAGGGCGGCTAAAGCTGCTGCTGAAGTGCGAAAGAAAGCAGCGGCAAGGGGTCTCTTGATACGCCCGCACGGTGTACCTGTACAGGCTATGCCGCCACTAACTCAGCTCCTTAACATCATAAATTCAGGTATGACACCTGAAGCTGCCGTCTCAAACAATAACGAGGCCACTGACGGAGTTAAGAAAGAAGGCAACGGCCATACTTCATCGAACGGAGTGCAAGATTCTGAAGTTGATAAATCGAAACAGGGTCAACAAGAGCAGGCTGCTCCTCCAGTTGGATTAGGATCGGGATTGGCTTCTTTGGAATCCAAGAAGCAGAAAACGAAAGGCAAAGCCACTTCTTGATGGAAATATTCATCGCACCAACTTTGTTTCGGTTTTTTTTCTGCTAGACGTAGTTCCTTTTTTTTTTTTTTCCCGATAATCGGAAAGAAGTTTTTCACTACTATTGGATTGATTATAGACAGCTCTAATCTTGCACTCTGCTTCAATAAGTTGGAGGTGCTTATTTTCGGTGCCTTTGTAATCTATTCTTTCAATAAGAATTTTGCTTGAGAAGAAATAATGTGTATTTCTTTTTGTATTAGCCAACAGATGGAAAAAAGTCTTCTGTTTGTTACATTGTTTTTTTAGGGAAACACCAATACATTATTGATTTTTTTTTTTTAATAATAATTTGCTTAATAGTTACTCCCTGTTACAGCACACTGTCTGTTTTTATCTATGAAATTACACTAAATAGATATAGAAAATCTGTTTCAATTTTTCTTTTCCGGAATTTCGAATTACTTTTTAGGAGCAGCAATTTCTAGCTTCTTTGTATTAGGACTGCTTATGTAATTATAAACTAAATGCTATTGTATTACGAGTAGAACCGGATTCACATGGGTCGAACCTAGGGTGTAAACGAGCCGAGCTCGCTTTATTTTGTGAGCTCGAGGAGCCTATAAGTTTTAGCTCGAGCTCGAGCTCCTTGTGTTTTTAAGGAGCTCGAGCTCGACACAACCACAAATCCATCTATCAATTTATTTTTTCAATTAAAAAGTAATATTTTTTTTATTATTAATAATATCCATTATTATATATTATTAATATGTATTAAAAAATATAGAGAAAAGGTAAAGCTCGCGAGCTTGCTCGCAAGCTGTCGAACAACTGAAATGAAGCTCGAGCTCGAGCTCGAGTGCGAGCTTTTTTCGAGCAAGCTTCGGAAGCTCGCGAGCCGGCTCGTCTCATTTACACCCCTAGTCGAACCTGGGTCGCCCAAAAGATTTAGTAGAAAACTAACCATTTAGGCAAAGCAAATTGTTCTAATATTCATAACTATAAACATATAGATATAAATAAAACTGTGATTATACTTATTTTGTAACTAATATTTAATAAATTATATTAATTCTCATACTTAGTTATTCACTAATAAAAAATGTATATATATATTTAATTTGGAAAAATATAAAGAATTACATTTCAATCCGTGTAATTTAAAAGAAAGATTAAATTTTGAATTTTTTTGAAATTTTAAATTTTGAAAAATCTTTCAATTATTATTTTGATTTATAAATACCTTTATCCAATCTTCACCAATTCATTTTCACAACCTTCATTCAAGGTGTTAATTGTTTCAAATTTTCTAAAGTTGTTTAGTGTTTCAATTCAACTTTTGTTTTTTGTAATTTTGAATTTAAAAGTTAAGCTCAAGTTTTAATTTACCATTTTTTTTTGTAAAAAAAGAAAAATGAAAAAACTGATTTGGACACGTGTCGGTTTCGGGTCCACTTAAAGTCCGACCCGACCCAACACGACACATGTCTACATTGAACCCGACATGTGTCTACATTGAAGTATCCTATTGTGAGGCCGGTGAGATGACATCACGTCTTTCAGCAGTACTCAGACACAAATATAAATACATTATTAAATCATCAACCAAAAGTAGACATAAATTTTTTTGGAATAGAATTTACGAATTCCGCCAATTTCGATCCAAAAATCCGTTTTGGACCTTTTCATTCCATTCCATCCGTGTATTCTGATAAATATAATATAATATAAAATTTGGCAGTATAGCAGTTTCCGATGACGTT